TGGATTCGTCCTCGGGTTGTAAACCCCCGTGTTACAGATCCCTCCAGCGAGTAGTTTACCATGCTTTGTAGCTATTTCCTTTGCTATTTGCAAGGCATCTCTGTTTAACTTTTCTAGGTCATCTTCTCGGCCAATCAGGCGCAGTTTTTCACGATGCCCATAGTACTACAAAATATCTAAATTAAGTACGGTAACATTTTAAAAATCAGTCGATGACATTCTATTTTTAATGACCTGTAAAAGGTAATATTACAGATTGCAAGAGAGGGGTGGCAATGATCAAGGACGGGAAAACTAAATATAAATTTAAAAATACTGTAATATTTACACTTCCTCACTAACCGTAAATGCTTCTATGACGTCGGTACCAGCATGGACGAATTCTTCGTGAAGAGCACGCACTATTTCAGGATTGTTATAACTACTTCTGGAATAAAACCTCCAGCAGTAAGATAGCCTCTTCTTTCCAACTCCCACATATATCCTTCCGCTATTAGGATTTTTTCGCCATTTTTTAAACGTTCAACCAGTCCTATGCAAAAAATTGCAGTGTACAAATATATATGGCATTGCCATTGATATTACAAAATATGCAAGATGTTCTGAGGAAATCTTTGCTTACACAAGTAACTACATTACACCATGCATATTTAGATATTTTTTAATTCATTTCTGTGCTATGCTTTTGCAGCCAAGTCAAAAATGCTCGTTTCTTTTTTTATGTAACTTTATGTATATTAGCCTACAAAAGTAAAAGGCTACCCAAACCATGCATTTCTATAAGACCTTTTGCAGAACAAGACATTGCAATACTATGCAATACTATGCGACTTCGACTGTACATGTATGCTATCGAAATGTATACTGTATAATAGATTGCCACTTCGTATGAATTACATCAACATTTCATTTCGAGTGATTAGAGAGATTCTGAGAGCCTTAGATTAAGGCTCTAATCCTTAAGTTAATTATGCCATGGTTTCTAATCCATTTGCGGGACGTGGAGACTAGTCCATACGATGAGACTGTATAAATCGAGGTCCCTTGTCGCATGTAGGTACTAGCACAAAAAGGTTCCACTTGTTAGAAGCCATTCTTGCCAAGTACAGATTTACAGCCCTCCACCAATGAGTGACAATTCTCAAAGGGAAGCTATGCAAACAAATAGACCAGCAAACCAACTTGTTGTATGTGTACTTGTTTGTATAGTGTGCAGGGAAACAACCACATCGAGAATCAGTGCATTAACCACTTTTGCTAACTATGAATTCCACAGCAATCTATATATGCCTACTTCACCGTGTGCTCGAAGGTGCCCATCTTCATGGCATTTTTTACCATTATTGCTATTAATGTCAAATGTGGTGTTTTCCCTGAGGGTATTACGCAGCTTCTATCATTACAGCCATGTCAAACAGTTTCGAAGACATACTTACAAATAAAATTATACAAGATTTGCTCCTACACGACTGGAGAACATTGGAGTGTTATGTCAACTGATGCAGCTGGTAGAGGAGTTGCATAGTGCAAACATATTGATATGCAAACACATTGGATTTCTTACCCTTTCTTGTGTTAGGATCACAGTTTTGTAAAAATTACTGAAGGGATGTTTGTCAGTAGGTGTTGGCACAAAAAAGAATCCTTCAGCGCAGTAAAGTAAATGATGTCTTAAAAGTTGCAGTCCTCAAAGTTCATTACGAATGAAAATTCTACAAGGGTACGCTAAGCAAACAAACAAACGTACAGCAATTATATAGTAAGCATAATATCTGTCAAACCTAGAATTGGGGGATCTTTTTCATGCCAGGACCTGCTGCGACACGGACCTCGGTTTAGACAGTATCATTTGAAGGCCTCGCAGCCACGTCCCACACTGGGTCCGTAAAGTGTGGCCGACATTATTCCGCTGTGGATCGTTTTCACTTTTCGTGCATTATGCTCTCAATCCAAAAGTATTACCCGGTCAATAAATCTTTTCTTTTCAGAATTTGACCCTTCTTTTCCATGTCGGACCTCTTATTGCCCCTCCTCTATTTTAAATGCCTTTAAAAAATAATCTCAATTTGTCAAAAATGTGTTTTGCCAGATTTACTAGTTTCTTTATAGTTCGAAACAAGACTTAGAAAGTTAACAATGGACTGAATTTTACTTTGTGGTTGTCATTTTTCGCTATTTTTTCTGATTTACGATTTTTGTAATAAGTTTCAGCCTTATGTAATGTTCCTCTAAAATACATCATTAATAAGAAACATTTGTACTTTTCATATAAGTAATCTTTTATCGAAGGTCTCCTTAATGCATATCACTATCGATCTTTAACATGCTTGAGTCGAAGTTCATATTGATTTATTAAATGGGTTGAAGTTCAAAGTATAACTTTATTTAGTGTTGATCACTTAAGTCCGACTAAACTATAAACGGATAAAGATAACGAGATTTATTTCAGTTGTTTGTTTAAAGGGACACATTTGATTTATTCGCAAGGTCAAACCGTTGACTGTGCAGTGAGTACAATTTGCATCCTGGTCTGTTTCCTCGATCATGATAGTAGGTAGCCTAGTTATCTCCTTGAATGGGAAGAGTTAATATATATATCAGAAAATATTGCTGAGTACATTGATGATAAGTGGAAACGGGAGAGGATGAATGATATATATTAGTGATCTGTACCTCTATTTGGGCATTAATGAATGCCACCAAAATGAATTGAATGTCTTCAAGAGAAATATGTAATTAATGTCATGCACAGTATTGATTCTGAAAATGATTATGGCAATAACCAAAAATGTAAGAATCAACAGATAATGGTTTGGAATGTAGCTTGGTTTCTGTGTTAAATCAGATTAACAATAACGTAACTTAAATCAGTTTGAAGTTTAAAAAAAAAAACATACGTATCTTTACTTTTGAACTTTGAAAAGCAAATTTAACAGTTTATTTTAGCAATTTTAAAGGAATTTGGGTTTTGCTATTTTGCAATTCATAATACTTTCCAATAATTGGGTTTGCAACATTTGGCTTCCGTACTCTTGTGTTTTATTTTTTTTTTGACTGCATGTAATTAATTAATTAAATAGAATATACTGAACTATAGTTTGACAAATCTTTTTTTTTTACGTTAACTGGGTTTCACACTGAGCATTTCCAAACTATTAATTTGTACTTTAATGGTTCATTCTCTTGTTTATAGTTAAGGTAGACCTAATTACTTTTACATTTTCTATAATGAATGAAATTCTAGCAAACTTAAATTTCACCATGTTCGCGGCGTCTCCGAATAGAAAAATGTTTCAAAGAAAATACTGTGGTATACATCATGGAAAATGTATGCGTGTTATCTTGTTAAATTTATTAGGAGAAAAAAATGACCTAAATACAACATAAAACTGTAAACAATGAAGCATTGCCCTCTTTTTATGTTATCATATAGCAAAACAAATACCTCCTAGTGGGCAGTACTCTCAAGAAACTAGGTAACAAAGAATGCAAATCCTTTTTGTTGCAAAATCTTACCTTGTTTTGCCATGATCACGGATTTTATGAATTACAGGGGCACTGCAGAGGCAAGGTCAAAGTTCTTGTAAGTGTGGAGGTGCGTGGACCTCTCTGCTGCACGTTAAAAGCTGACTCGTATGGAAAGGGGGTGTTATCATAAGTTGATTGTTGTGCAAGTTAGAGGGGTCGATAATGGGGACATACCGGGTATAATGCATCAACTTGATAATGCCATATAACAAGGAAAGATAATGTATCTCGGTTTATTATTTGTAACCTACATGTACTGTGTATTATGTATGTGTACATAAGTACAAATGGATGATATGCAAATACTCTTCACTTTTGAAGAATTGAATACATACACCATGCAGACTTTTGTGAATTAATCCAGTCCACAACAAAAAAATCGTAATGTTACGAAAATATGTAATATTGACGAAAATTCGTAATATTACAAAACATGGTATATAAGACATTTATTTATTATTTTTCGTAATATAATTATATTAAATTACTGACACTCGTAATATTAGACAATCATTGCTGTTTTTGAGGTCAATACGATGAATTATATACATGTATTGTAGCCACCTGAGTTGTTCAATTTTCACCGAGCCCGAAGGGCAAGGTGAATATAATTATACTTCAGGTGCATGGCTAAATCATTGTACATGTATTCACCGAAAAAACAGCAATAATTGTTTTCTAATTCTATGCTTAAAAAATGTAATGATTCAACTGTAAATAAACAATTATTACTTGAATGTGACATAAAACAACATACAACCAATCAATCAAATAAAATTTTCATATTAATTAATCTTCAGGGTTTGGGGCTTTGTACTTAAGTATTATACATGTACATTGTATTCGAGGGAAATGTATACAATGCAATTTATTGCATAGGTTATTTGTTCACAGTATTAATATTTGTTAAAAATCATCCTTTTTCAATTCATGTTACCACAATTACATGACAATAAATAATATATGTTCAAAAAATAAAGCTATTCAAAGGCAGGGGGCATTTTTTTTTACCAAAATTAATTTTGAAAATTTATATAAACCAAATAAAACAAATTAAATTTAGCCACTCTTCGAAAATATTAAACGCTGAATGAGCATATATATTGAATGCTATTTTTAAACAAAGTTTTACCTTACGAAAATATGTATATTACCGAAAATCACAAGTAACAAGAGTAATGTTCTCTGAAATATCAAGGGTGGGCTTTTATTCATAAAAACAAAATTTACTTATTTAATAGTAAAAGAGTTGTGTCGATTAAGTGAAGTCATTTGATCAAACGAGCGATGTAGCCCATGTGCTGCATGTTTTATTTTTTCAGACGCCAGCTTTATACGGGGATTCAAGTGTTATTTCATTTATAAGGTTAGGAGGATTGATTGATTGTATACTGTTTAACGTCCCTCTCCAGAATATTTCACTGATATGGAGACTTCACCATTGCCGGTGAAGGGCTGCAAATTTAGGCCTATGCTCGGCACTTACGGCCTTTGAGCAGGGAGGGATCTTTATCGTGCCACAACTGCTGTGACACGGGGCCTCGGTTTATACGGTCTCATCCGAAGGACCGCCGCATTTAGTCGCCTTTTACGACAAGCAAGGGGGTACTGAGGACCTTTTCTAATCCGGATCCCCACGGGGCAGGTTAGGAGGAAGTTTTACGTCAAATAACCACTTCATTGCTGCGGTCATTCACATATCCAGAACCGTAAACCAAGATCTTGCGTCGTAGTCGTTAATTGCCCGAGACTGAATTAATGTTCCTCAATACATGCTCAACAGAATAAGCGCCGAGTAGAAGTCTTGAAGTCCAATTTAACAACACAAATCGGGATGAGGCAACCGTGGACCTACAAAAACATCAGAGATGGGATAAGGGACCATGGAGGAATGTGCATCCCGGCTGACCGATTGCACTCGCTGTACAATCGCTGACCGATTGCACTTGCTTCTTGTTAAAAAAAAAGGAAAAGCAGAAGACATTTCAGAATGAAATATATGGAAGTAACGAAAAAATAGGAACAGAGCACGCACAGACCTCTAAAACATTAGAGGTGGGATCGGGTGCCATGGAGGAGTGAGCATCCCCTGCCGACCTGTCACATCCGTCGTGTGCTCTTGTCATGGTCTGGAAATAACGTAAAAATCCATTAATGTCTATTGAATGTGTAAATAATTGGACTAACAATTGCAGTTTGAAAAACGTCAGTGAGCATTTGGCTCATTATAAATTGTATTTGCTGACAAGGTCTTTGTATCGACCATAGAACTTACGAAATGATGACTTTGAATGAAACTGCTGATATTCTTGTTTCATCAACTTGTTTGTCAATAATTTACTTCGTTTTAGAAATTGTACAAACGTACAGCATGCTCTTACGTATTGAATCAACTGAGATATATAAACTCCGTATGCAGGTGATGAAGGTATATGGCTGCATAAGTAAGGGAAGTTGATAGAAAAGTTAAAGTGACATCATCTTTATCATAGAGCTTGGTTGTTAGATTACCATTAACATCTTTTTCAAGTAAAATATCCATTTTGACTTATTGATAAGAGTCAGTCTTGGGTAAAGGTCTGTTTGTTCAAATGAAGGACAACAAGAGGCCCAAGGGCCATATCGCTCACCTGAGCACATCTACTAGAAAAAAGCACATATCAGATCAAAACTGAAAGTTGACTGGGGGGGGGGGGGGGGGGGGGGGCTTTAATTTTAACCCTCCTGGGTGTCATGATTTGAAAAACGTACAATCTACACTACCTGAGGATGATTCCATATAAATAGAAAAATATCACTTATCATGGCCTTGAAGTACTTGAAAAGAAGATTTTAAAAGGTTTCCTTATATATCCTTATGTACAACTTTGGTCAGCCATTTTCGGCCCAAAACTAGCCCCAGAGGTCATGATTTGAACAAACTTGAATCTTCACTAACTGAGGATGATTCCACATTAGTTTCATCTTTCCTGGCCCAAAGGTTCTTGAGAAGAAGATTTTTAAAGTTTTTCCTATATATTCCTATGTAAAACTTTGGTCATCCATTTTGGCCCCATTCTAGCCCCGGGGGTCATGATTTAAACAAACTTGAATCTACAATACCTGAGGATGATTCCACATGAGTTTCATCTTTCCTGGCATAGTGGTTCTTGAGAAGAAGATTTTTAAAGATTTTTTTTCTATATATTCCTATGTAAAAGTTTATTCAGCCATTTTGGCCCCACCCTAGCCCCAGAGGTCATGATTTGAACAAACTTGAATCTACACTACCTGAGGCTAATTTCATTTAAGTTTCATATTTCCTTTCTCAATGATTCTTAAGAAGAAGATTTTTAAAAGATTTTTCCTATATATTCCTATGTAAAACTTTGGTTGGCCATTTTGGCCCCACCCTAGCCCCAGGGGTCATGATTTGAACAAACTTGAATCTACACTACCTGAGGATGATTCCACATGAGTTTCATTTTTCCAATTCCAGTGGTTCTTGAGAAGAAGATTTTTAAAAGATTTTTCCTATATATTCCTATGTAAAACTTTGGTTGGCCATTTTGGCCCCACCCTAGCCCCCGGGGTCATGATTTGAACAAACTTGAATCTACACTACCTGAGGATGATTCCACATGAGTTTCATCTTTCCTGGCCCAGTGGTTCTTAAGAAGAAGATTTTTTAAAAATGCTATTAATTTTACACTAATTCTTAATTATCTCCCCTTGGAAGAGGGCGTTGCCCTTCATTTGAACAATCTTGAATCCCCTTCACCCAGGGATACTTTTTGCCAAGTTTGGTTGAAATTTGCGCAGTGGTTCTTGAGAAGAAGAAGAAAATGCGAAAAGTTAACAACAACGACAACGCCAACGACGACAAAGACAGACGACGGACAAATTTTGATCAGAAAAGCTCACTTGAGCCTTTGGCTCAGGTGAGCTAAAAACCAAGTGATTTCACAGTTTCATGAAGCATGCTTAATCATCTGGAAAAAAATGAACTCAATAAGATTACATAAACGATATAAATTTATTTGACAATAAAAGTTATAAAACAACGCATTGAAATAAATTACATTCATAACAGATCATAAATGAAAAAAAAAAAAATATGAGTTCAATAAAAAATTCAGAAGCCATAAAGTATATAAAGGGATCATTAACAATGCAAGATATAATTCTACAGTGTACATGTACAAATTATTACAAAGTTTCATTGAAAGGAATGTTTGTAACTGATACTGGTTTGGTCAATTCAAAGAACATGTAAGAAAAAAATATTTCATTTCTTCTCTTACCTCTCTCATTCTGAAACTCTCTCAGCACATAACAACATCTCACAACCTTAGAAATCTTGCATTGTTTAATGACACCTTACTGCATGTTAACTATAAATTGGAATGCTTTGCATGTACATACACTGTATGTATCTCTTCATCTTAAAGCTTGCAAACTCACAATTTTATTAATGCTCATATTGTCCCTGCAATAAAAGATTAATATGCAATCCTATACAGATAGATATGTATTCACAAGAAGTTAATATTTAGTTTCAATAAACATGTACATGATGCCTTTATTGAGATATATTCATAACTCATAATGAACATTTGTTTTAAAGTTGCCAGCACAAGTTATTTGTAGATATTCAGCCTATTCTGACAACAGTTTTTTGAGAAGTGTAAAACAAATTGCATGTGGTAAAAAACAACAATATGCTAAGAAATCAAACAGAAGAAGAAAGCATTGAAAACACACCTACTGTCAAAGTCTATACATTTATATTTACAAGTGACACCAAGATCTTCAATTAAAATAATGCTGGTTTCTTGTGTTCCACTCTTAATGAATTCTAAAATCAAAAAGCATTATTAAAAAAAAAACATGATACTGTTATCCATGTATTTATAAGTTGATTCAAGCCATTATGCTGGTGTCTGCTAACAAGGGATAACACAAATGATTGAATTAAATAACCCTCTAAAAAAAATTCAGCAACCATTTGTATAAATTTTTATCTTCATGCTTTACCTATATCTTCATTTTTTTTTTAAATGTCATGATTACATAAAAATCCATATTTGTGAGCAAGCAGCTAGCTAGCATATGTAAATTTTCATAAAAATACTATGTATTTCCTACATCATATAAAGGCACTTCTTGAAACCATTTTACACAACTTTGGAAAGGAAAAAAATTTTATTTTGAAAATGCTATTTTTTTGTCCATAATATTATTTTGTTACTTAAAATAATGGTATATTCCAGTTTTATACCTATGCAATCTAGCAAAATTTAAACCATGGTAGAAAATGGTGTTTTATTTATTTTTCTACACAGTGAAAAACAGGGACGGTTGGAATTTTAACACAAACTAATTCAAAATATACAGACATTTGTATTTAAATATTGCAATTTTATATAAAAATACACACATGTGGGATCCAAAACTCTACATACAGATTGCACTATTTAAAGAAATTTGTGGACAAATTCACAAAGATGCACAGAAAGTGAAAACACATGACTATATCTACACATGATCCTCAGGCTACGAATTAAAAGCTACAACCATTTTTTGTAGAGTCGAGTGACTTGAGAGCTCTGATACAAATGCAGACTTGAATACAAACTGTAATAATGGAGAACAGGTTTGTAGGAAGTCTTTTGAGTGTACCACATGTACAAGAGGTATCTTAAAAGGTATATGTGTTCCATTAGACATGGCCGAAGTTCTGTTGCCAATTACAATGTATACTTTTAACAATGAAATGATGTTTCTTTGACCAGATAGAGATCTTTTCCAACAGCTGGTCAAACATACCTTTAAGTTAACTATTACATGTACACAAGTTGGGCTCAAATTGCCATGTACTAGTTTAAAAAAAGAAGTAAAATAGTAATTCAAAATGTCATTATGTGACAATGTCTTTGAGGAAAAAAAATAATACAGAAGAATTAAAATAACCACAGAATGACTATAATTTTCTTTAAGATATAGAAGTAATGACTGCAGCAAAAAGAACAATTCCATTGTCATCTTAAAAAAAAAAAACTTCAAAAGTTAAGTACATCTTTTGAATGGCAATTTGTTTGATGGATTTCTGATTAAAGGAGATAAGAATTAAAAAAAATCTTTCACATATTAAAAAATCCCATTCTTGAGGGTGAGTCAGACTCTCACATTTTCTACGTAAAATTGCTAACTTAAAGGGAGTTTGGACTTGGAAGCTACATCTTTTTCAGTTCTTTATATTGCCAAATTTACACTTAAACTGGTATATACATGTATATGCTAATTTATTTTATTGCCAAATCTTAAATAAATATTTTGTAGAAACTTCAAGATTTACATTTAAACATGTTGTACTGCTATATAGATGAAGGGAGGTAACTTCCAAATAGAAAACATTTACATGTACCTGAATTTCCAAGTAAGTTAAGTATTATTAAAATATTATATTTCATAATTATTAATATTTATAAATAAACCCCAAAATTATCCCTCTTCTTAAATAATCCAGATTTTAGACTGTTCATGTCACTAATAATCGGAATTTAGCGGTATAAATTTCTGACTCCTCTGGATTTTCTCCCTGGACCGGATTGGCCACCCAGGCCACACATTTGATCCGAATGACGTGATTGGTCATTATAGTGTTGAACTGTACCATCACTGATGGAGCAATGTACTTGTCTGGATTTTTCTGCGGGAAGTATGTGAGGTTGAATCCAGTTTCAGGGAAATTTTGGATTGGCTTCTCTCTCATGGTGGGATGGTCTTTGTTATGGAGAGGGGCATACCACCGGTCTGGTCCGATATGTTTTTTGTCATCTTCTGTCTGTAAGAAATAGACAATTAATGTACAACTAAGTACATGAAATGATGTGACAATGTTGCTATCAGTATGACTGAGGGCTATTCAGAATAAGCAATCGGACAATAATGCAATGTCTTTGTCCATTAAACAATTTAACTGCTACATGTATTTATTAATACCACTAACGAGCCACCAACTAAATTATTTTTAAGACTCTGAGGATCAAGACACTGCAAGAACTACAAAAATCCATGTTTATAGCAAACATGTTTATAATGAATTCATGCTTTCTGAATTTGACAGATATAGGAAATTATTATAAATCAAAATTCTTCAACCCTGGCACTGCACTATAAAAATATTTTACTATACATGTATATATTTATTCAAAATTAAGACTATTAAAACAATCACTCCATTTTATAATTCAAGTAGAGATTTATTCACAGGCTTACCTCCCCTTCACATTTCAGCCCTATATGGTTAGGGGACCATGTGTCATTTAGCAGCTTTCCTACTTTAGAGTCCTTTGGAAAATTCTCTGGCACATCATCAGGTCTCTAAAAAAAAAAATCACAGTATGGGGATATTACTTAATATTTTTTCTGCTCAATGTTTGAAAGTGAATTATATTATACTACTACTGGCCATTGGAATTTGACATACTTTCATTTTTGTCTAAAGAACTTATTATAAGCTGAAATTTGACTTCATTTTAAAATGTTTAGACATACAATATTCACAAAAACCTCTACATGTATTTTGTTTGTTAGTTTAAACTGCATACCTTTCACATAACAGTACCCAAATATTAAAAATATCATCTACAATGTGCAATATTGACAAAAATTGTGAACAGTGAAACAAAAAAATCTTACCAATCTCAAGGTCAGAAGTACACAAGGTCGTCCTTGTAAATATCCATAGTTACCGAGATGTGTACACTGTGACCCAAACGTCTCTATTTTCTGTACACAAACTTTGCCCTCAGGGACAGTTTCTCCATTTTTACACTTCATGTAAGGATCCTTGTCATAGGAGTAACCATTGTAATCTGTAATCAATAAAAAAACTACTGTAATCTGTAATCATTAAAAAAAACTACTGTAATCTGTAATCATTAAAAAAAACAGAAGTCTCTGTCAAGACTGTAGCTCTACTGGTTTATACTTAAAACAAAGGAAGAGAAAAGTAGCAGTTGGGACTTGAGACTTTAAATCAGCAATAAATAGAACAGGAGGCCCACGGGCCTTATAAGTCACCTGAGTATTGTGTAACAACTTTCAAACAATTAAATTTGGTTCGTGTTTTAAACCAGAGGCCATGAAATTCACAATTTTGAAAGAGGCACCATTAATAATCATAATTAAAAATACTCTACTTACTCAATACCCAGAGGTAGATCAGAGTTACAAAGAGAAAATGTTCTTCCACTTTATAACCAGTTGTGCACCTCATCCCAAAAGAACCACTGACTCTGGGGCCACATATTTCAAAATTTTGCAAATTTTATCATAAAATGGTTGATTAATACCAAAGAGCAGGTTTCAAAGCATTAATTTATTTTCAGACTATGTACCTCCCCCCCCCCCCCCCTAGGGGCATAAAAAACCATTTTGCTAGATGCACCTTTCTTCATCACAAATATAAATACTTGGATCATTGGCATAAAATTGACAATTTTGGAAAAGGCACTCTTGCTTTTCATAACTATATGCTTAGTTAGTTTATTTAATACTCAGAAGCAGAGAAGAAGATTTTCAAAGAATAAATGCATTTTCACTATATAATCAATAGAGCCCCGCGCTAACACCAGAACCCCTGACCCTGGGGCCATAAAATTCACAAATCTGGAAGAGGCATTCTTGCTCATCATAACTATGCACTTAGTTAGTTTATTTAATACCCAGAAGCAGAGAAGAAGATTTTCAAAGAATAAATGCATTTTCACTATATAATCTATAGAGCCCCGCCCTAACACCAGAACCCCTGACCCTGGGGCCATAAAATTCACAAATCTGGAAGAGGCACTCTTGTTCAACATAACTATGTACTTAGTTAGTTTATTTAATACCCAGAAGCAGAGAAGAAGATTTTCAAAGAATAAATGCATTTTCACTATATAATCTATAGAGCCCCACCCTAACACCAGAACCCCTGACCCTGGGGCAATAAAATTCACAAATCTGGAAGAGGCACTCTTGCTCATCATAACTATGTACTTAGATAGTTTATTTAATACCCAGAAGCAGAGAAGAAGATTTTCAAAGAAATAATGCATTTTCACTATACAATCCATATAGCCCCGCCCTAGCACTAGAACCCCTGACCCTGGGGCCATGAATTTCACAATTTTGGTAGAGGACTCAATGCTAACTAGAACTGTCCAATAGGGACAAATACCCCCGCTGGGTTTTTTAGAGTAGGTGCCAATTCAGAAATATTTTATGGATCTAGTAAGAGGTGTTCACTATTGTCTAATAAAGTGCCCCGTCACAGCATGATACGCCCATCAAATATTGTTCAATAATCATAAATTGGTTAGGGTGCAAGAAAATCAAGTAACCTTTTTTTTTTTTTTTTTTTTTTTTTATTTACAGATTCTAATACATACTTATACAATACAAATATACATTTTCTGTAAATTTTTTATAAGAGAGAGAGAGAGAGAGAGAGAGAGAGAGAGAGAGAGAGAGAGAGAGAGTAGTAGAGCAAGAGAGAGAGGAGGGCGAGAAGGGATAGTAAGAAAAAATTACAAAAACAGATTCTTCCAGGGTTTCCAGGCTTCGTCAAAAGTCAACTGATTATTGTTTTTATATGCAATATACTTGTTTATTTCATACATATATTTGATGGAGGATATCAGTCCATTCAAGGAGAGGTATTTACCACTACATCTCATTCTGTAGATAAAATATTTAATCTGAAGAGCAATGAGATATTTTATTTTGTCTAATTTTGCAAAAGATCCCAATATGAATTCTTTTTTCAAATATACAACATTAATATGAATCTTTCTAAAACAATAACTATCAAAACTATTCAATAAGTCTTGTACTACTTCACATTCCCAGAAGATGTGTTCAATAGTTTCTGTCTCAGTTTCACAAAAAGAACACTTGTATGAATCTATTTTCTTAATTTTATGTAAAAAGGAATTTGTTGCTAATATTTTATGATTAATGCGGAACTGAAACCACTGAAGTTTTGTATCTTTTGTGAGCTTAAAAGGAAATGAAAAAACTTTTTCCCATTCACTATCATTCAAGTTAAAAATTCTATTCCAGCTAGTCTGACCTAAAGGCTTGATGTCATTGCTTTTCAAAATTTCATATAAATTTCTTGATTTCTTCGCATTTAATAAACGGAATGTTTTTTGTGTAATATATGGCATATACACAGTTGGCATAGAAATTATATTTTTGGTTTTCATCCATTCTCTGATAGCAGCTATAAGTCCATTGTACTCAAGAAAGTTTGTATGGATTCCATATTTCAATTTAAACATATTAATGTCCATACAGGAACCGTCCTCTCTTAAGAGATCATTTACGAAAAATACATTATTTTCAAACCATTTCTTATAAAAAATTGTTTTCTTGCCAATCAGTATATTTTTATTAAAAAATAGTGGTTCCATAGAGGCACTTGCTTCTAGTTCTGGCAATTTTTTAGAAAAAAATAGCCAGGCTTCTAAAACATTTTTCCAAAACATATTTTTTACATCTTTAATTTTCTTGAGAATGTATTCTTCTCCACAAAAAACTGTTTTTTTTAAATCTAAAGTTAGATATGAATATTTACCTTGCAGTATGACATTTTTCATCCATACAAGTTTCAGAGACATAATAAACTCTTTAATACTAATCATCTTGAAACCGCCATCTTTAAGATCTTTAATACAAACTCCTTTTTTTAGTCTAAAAGCATTACTCCCCATTACAAAAGAATAAAAGGTGTTTTCTAAATCTTTTATATATAAATCAGTGGGATTTGGAAGGGAGGCAAAAATATGATTCAATGTTGGCAATAAAAGTGTTTTCAAAACTGTTAATCGTCCTAGTGGTGTGAGATTCCTATGTTTCCAATGTCTTATCATTTTCTTTATGTTTTCTAACTTTGAACTGAGATTCCTCGAAAGTATCTTCTGCAAATCTATATCAAATTCAATACCAAGTAACCTAAAGTTTTTCTTTCCCCACTCAAGAGATTGATTTTTACATAAAACCTCATCACTACCTTTTTTGCTACCTATCCATATTACTTGTGTTTTATCATAATTTATATGTAAGCCGGACATTTTTGCAAAATCTCTAAGGGTACCTAAACTTGATTGTAAAGATTTCTCACTGCCATCTAATATAAGAGAAGTGTCATCAGCGAGCATCGAGATTTTCTTTTCCCCATCAATAAAATATATACCTTTGATGTCTTTGTTATTTCTTATCTTAATAGCAAGGATTTCAGCACATATCAAGAATAAGTATGGGGATAGTGGGTCTCCTTGTCGACACCCTCGATGCAAAGAGAATGTTTCAGATAAATTTCCTCCCTGATTTACTGCTGATGTAATGTTTGAATAAAATAAACTGACCCATTTTCTCATAGACTTTCCAAAATTAAAGAATTTAAGTGATTTTTGAATAAAAGCCCAAGAGACAGAATCAAATGCTTTTTCAAAGTCAACAAGAAGAAGAAGACCTGGTATTTTTTCTTCTTCTGTGTATTGCATAATGTCATAGATTAGTCTAATGTTTTCAGCTATATGCCTGCCCTGTATAAAGCCTGTTTGATCAGGATGTATAATTTTATCTAGAAACCTTCTAATTCTATTTGCTATTGAACCAGATGCAATTTTATAAACTGTGTTTAAAAGAGAGATAGGTCTCCAATTTTTTAACAAGTGTTTAGGTTTGTCACCCTTCGGTAAGCAGGTAATGATTCCATGTCTCTGAGTTACACTTAAGATATCATGATCATATGCATAATTAATTGATCGGACAACAAAAATGCCTATAAATTTCCAAAAGACCTTAAAAAATTCTGAGGTAAAGCCATCTGAGCCAGGTGATTTATTTGATTTCATCCTAAAAAGTGTTTCCCCTGCCTCCTTCATTGTAATTTGACCTTCTAATGACCTTGACTCTTCATTGGAAAGCTTTTCAATATCTGAAAAATTCATTTCCTCCTGAAGGTTAACATTTTCAATGACATCATCTACATTTCTATATAAATTTTCATAATATTGTTTGGTTGTTTTTAAGATATCTGACTGATTATAAACTGTCTCTCCATTTTCTAATTTAATTTTTGGAATAATTTTACTTATGAAATTTCTTGACTCGAGATTACAGAAATATTTTGTCGGTTTCTCCCCTTCTTCTATCCATCTTGCCCTTGACCTTATATATACACCAGCCATTTTTTCTTTTCTAATATCTTCCAACTCTTTCTTTTTTTCTTCAAGAGTTTCATTATTGCTTGTAGACCCCTGTGCCAATTCCTCCAGGGAACTTATTTCTTTTATAAGTTTTTCTTCTTTAAAAATTCTGGATTTTTTTTTTAAAAGACGAATATGAAATACATTTCCCTCTAATTTCCATAAGAAGTGTTTCTAAAAATAACTGGTCATTGACTAAAAATGCAATATTTTCATCTTCAATAGATTGCAAGTTATCTATATTGTATACTGGAACTGCATACTGCTCTTTAACCCTTTGTATCACCCCCTTAATTGAGTTTAAAAATTCTTCATCATATAAAAGAGAATTATTAAATTTCCATAATCCTTTGCCTTTCTTAAAATCATTGAACTTTAAACATAAAGTAATAATCGAGTGGTCGGACCTATAGCTAGGTTCTATAGAACTTGTTGTAACACTTGACAGTAAGTTCTCCGATACAAGAAAAAAAATCTAATCTACTTTGCTTAATGGGACTTTTTTTTCTCCAAGTATATCTCAAAGCATCTGGATTATTTTGTCTATAAATATCAACTAAGTTGTTATCTTCCATAAGCTCTATAACCCTCTGTCTTGCATTAGGGTTATTTAT